TGCCCTTTTGCAGCAGCTGCATGTAATATGGTGGAACCATGCTTATCTCTGTAAGCCAAAACATCTGTACGGTCACTGAGAAGCTCGTTCAAAACCATCAAATTTCCTCCTCTAGCAGCAGCATGAAGAGCTCTGTTCATTATCTCCCACTTATAAACAGCAGGAATTTCGCCAATATGCTCCTCAAACCCTTCTCCTTTCGCTGGCAAAAACCTTGGGGAGACTGCAAAATCATAAATGACCCTGAAAACTAGAGAGTTCTTACCCCTGGCAGCAGCATAAAGTATATCAGTGACACCATACTCCCCTTCTCCAAAAACCAGTAAAGGGTTCCTCTCAAGAAGAAGTCTAACAAAGCTCAAGTCACCAGCTGAGGCTGCGGTGTACATCAGCCACCCGCCGTAGCCAGCTCTGATGAGGGAATTTGTCCCTTTCTTTGACTCACACTCTTGGAACAATTGTCGAGCAACTTGTGAGCGACATTTGGCAACATCATCGAACTGCTGTTCATCGTCCCAGACGGTCTCGAGACGGCGAAGCCGGTGAAGGGAGGTGAGTTTAATGAGGTGATTGCTGTCTATACGGAGAAGTTGCCTGACCAAGTCGTAGTGGCCATTTGCGGCGGCCCAATCGATAGGGGAAGCAAACCACCATTGATCTCCAGTGCTTTCCCACCGGAGAGGGAAATATGCGGGAGGCATAGTCCAAGATGGGTAACAAAAGATTCTAAAGGAAAAAACTTTCCCAAGAAACTAACAGAAAAATTAGCAGATGGTAGTGGAACTTTGAAGAAAAGCAAGAAACTTTTGCCAAAAATTCAGCTCCCCAGAAGAGAAATATGATAAAAAAATTTACTTTACCAATTAAGAACCCTTCAGAAGGAAATTCAAGAAAGAAGGGAACCCATTAAAATTCAATGCCCAGACAAGAACAGGAGTAACCACCAAGATATGAAACAAACTCTTTTTAATTCAAGCAGTTGAGCTACCTGCATCATCAGAACCCATTAGTGTCCTGAAAAGAAAATTATGCATAACACATCATGTGCAAGGAAATGATTTGTAATGGTTTTGGATGATGCTAAAAGAAGAGAGATTCATTCTTATATGCTAAATAACATCAACAAGAAGATATGGGCAAAGGAAAAACAATCATTACACTCACAAAAGGAGAAGACAGAAAAGAAGGCAAGAAATCAAACAGGTTTCAAGATGATGATAACAAAGGGGCGAAGAAAAAAAGTATTGGATTGGAATCAACAGGGTTTTTAGGTGGATCAAAGAGGAGACCGAATAGAGAAAGTTAGAATAAGGAAAAGTAATATAATATGGTGAGATTCCTCTTTAGCTGTGGTGGTTAATGATGGTTACATATGGATGCAACAGTAGGAAAAGATATCATATTAATGTAGCAAAATATGTCGTGGAGTTTAAATAATATAATTTGAATTATTAGATGAAAAGTAAATTTTTTAATATTAAAATATGAGTAATGATAAGGGAATGAAAATACGGAGTGAAATTGAAGTACGACAAGCAAGGTGAAATTGATAATTTTATATTTTATAATTTTCACTTATCGTCTTTCACTTATCATTATTCTTAAAATTTATGTTTTTAATTTCCAGCTTAATATCATCCGAATGGTAAAACAGGCAGTTCTTACTGTAGATAAAGGGGGTTCTGACAATGATTATATTGTTGTGGTGAGGCAGATTAGTGAAATTTATTTTAGCATTGTATGTTGTTGTGAGTTAGTTTTCACATACCATACTAAGTTTTCTTTTGTCATTTTATTAATAAGTTTTCTTTTGTCATTTTATTAATGAATCTAATGATATTTTTAGAAGAAATATAAATTTATGAAAGGAGATTGAATCCGATATTTAAAATTAAAAATACAACGTTTATAAAAATTTATAATCAATTAACTTTACCACGTGCTATCAATGAATCTCATGATAGTCCATCATCACTGGTAGATTACTGTAGGACTTATCAGTAATTAGGTAATCCTGCTACACACGACTAAAATGGAAGTTAGAACTCCACTATGATATGGAAATCAAGATAAACCAGTCGGTTTTCTCTTTCCATCATATATACAGATAAACCAAAAAGAAAAAACGTTGAATGATTTAAGGATCTTCTAATCCAAGCTTAACAAATTAATGTGATTGATATAATATCAAAAAGGTAAATCAGCACTAAATTTTTATTAATTCCTCTATAATTGTTGACAGTAAAGTTTCAGGGTCTGACACTTGTAGCTTCAAGTAAAGGTTTAACAGAAAGTGGTTGGAAACTCCACCAAGCGGTCCGATAGTCACGTGTCTCATTAATATTAGTGAGTTGTTCACTTGATCTGAAAATCGAATCTTTAGTTACTATCATCTAACAATACTAACTTATTAATCATTATCCTTATAAAAAAAAAAAAACTGAAAGTGTTTGGAGTGGTGGGTGGCTTCTGCAATATCATCATGCCACATTTATCAGTTGACCCTTGACCCCATCTTTAATTTCAAGGTTAAATATCTTTTTTGGTCTCTCTACTATAGGAAAAAGTCTTCTTTTGATCCCTGTATCGAAAAAATTTCTTTTTTTGTCCTTACTGTTCACAAATCCAACCCTTTTTTAGTTCCTCCGTTAAATTTTGGTTAATGTGGCAGGTTAATTAACGAAAAAATTCATTTCCTTTTTTTATTAAATTACGTGGATTTTCCACGTGACAAAAATTGATGATATGCTAAATTTTTTATTTTTAATTACTGATATACCCTTGTCTTCTTCCCCAGCTTCTCCTTCCTCCAGCCTTTTTTTTTCTTTTACCTTCAGGCAAACCCAAGAGCCTGGGTTTGCAAAACCTAAAAGGCAGCCATAACGAACAAACAAAATGAACCAACTAGTGTTAATATGAAGGAGAAAAAGGCTCCTGGGTGCAAACCCGCGAGCTGGGTTCCTCGCGAACCCAGCTCGTGGGTTCATGAGGTGCGAACCCAGCTCGTGGGTTCGCGAGGTGTGAACCCAAGCTCCAGAGCTGGGTTCTTACACCCAGGAGCCTGGGTTCCTCGCGAACCCAGCTCGTGGGTTCGCGAGGTGCGAACCCAAGCTCCTAGGTTCCTCGCGAATCCAGCTCTTGGGTTCGCGAGGTACGAACCCAGGCTCCTGGGTTCGCGAGGTGCGAACCCACGAACTGGGTTTGCACACCCAGGAGCCTGGGTTCCTCGCAAACCCAACTCGTGGGTTCGCGAGGTGCGAACCCAGGCTCCAGAGCTGGGTTCGCACACTCAGGAGCCTAGGTTCCTCGCGAACCCATCGCCTAGAGGTAAAAAGAGAAAAAGAAAAAAAAGAAAAGGCCGGACGAAGGAGAGGATGGGGAAGAAAGAAGAGGGTAAATTAGTAATTAAAGGAAAAAATTTTACCATGTCATCAATCTTTGAGGGCAAATCAATAATTAAAAATAAAAAATTTAGCATGTCATCAATTTTTCCCACGTGGATTTTCCACGTAATTTAATAAAAAAAACAAAATGAATTTTTCCGTTAATTAACCTGCTATATCAACCAAAATTTAACGGACTAAAAATGGGTCGAATTTGTGAACAGTAAGGACAAAAAAAAAGATTTTTTCGGTACATGGACCAAAAAAAAGCTTTTTCTCATAATAGAGAGACCAAAAAGAGTATTTAACCTAATTTCAACTACAGCATATAAAAAAACTATGTCTAGCACATCCTCTAAGAATTTTATGTCAATGTGGCCATGTTCATGTATAAATCTGAAGAGTTAACAACTTAACACCATCAGGGTGACAGGGGTCCTCTAATGGCATCAGGGCAAGAAAAAAACATGTACCTTGACCCTAGTTTCCCTTCCTTTTTCTTTTTCTATTCTCCCTGCTTCAAATAATAAGGAAAAAAAATATAAAAAATAAAAAAGAGAAAGATAAAAGAGTACGGAATGAAAGAGTTGATGTGAATGATGTGATCCTTATCTCTATATCTTTACTTGATTTTACATGTTTTTTCATAGACTGACTGATATAGAAGTACCATCTACATTTCTATATATCAATGGGAAACCTCAGTTGGTGGATTTGGTTTGTTACTTTATTAGGCTTGGACAGAGAGGGCAAGGATTTCAATCAAGATTCTGGTGAGCTGTGGCATTTTGGCTCTTAGGAAGCGACCTAAATTCAGACCAGGTTGCTGCTCCACAGCAAGGATGGGTCACACAACTTCAAAAGCAAAGAAGGCCATATGAAAGGCAGCTTTAACTTTTCTTGAGTACTCATGTATTCAAAAAAGGTTATATAGAACAAAGTGAGCAGGCATGCTTTAAACAATAATAATGCATGTTGTGTCAAATGTCAGTTCCCTTGCTTCTATCAATTTCCTATTTCCCCCCCTTCTTTTTTTCACTTTCTTGAAATTGTGCTCCCCATTGGGCCTCTTTCCATGCTTTAATAAGTGTCATGAAGTTCATCTTCACATGGGGCATAAAGAAAAAGGCATGACAATCTACACCAGTTCGGCTCAATCCATATATAGTAGACTAGAATTGAAGTGCAAGGAATGGTGCTCCATGATAACAATGTCTTAGGTCAAATTTCTTAGTTTCTGGTATGAATGAAAACTGTCTTTCAACCGAATTAATGCAATGGGCATTAGCTCTGTGTGCAGAAATTGGTTCACAAACTTATTTGTGAATCAACCAAAACAAGCAAACGGACAACTCTACTCTGAAAATGAAAATACAAATGCTATGCATGAAAACCATGCCAATATATCTACAAGATCTTTCCTCATTCATGCACAAAAAATTAGGGTTCAACAGAAAAGAAAAGTGCCATAACAAATGGGAATAGAATCATAGATGGACCAGGGACCAATAGAGTCCATGACATAAGGAAGAAAAGGGGAAAGCATGTGCCTTTTCAGCCCCGAAGGTGGTTGGCTTTGAACCCCACTATTGTACTGTTGGACTCTTGGGTAAAGGAAAAGGTGGCTTCCACTTCACAATGGCAAATATCAACCTTCGGGCCCAACTGATCATCACGTCACTAAAGATTTTCATTACATAGGCGACGGTATTTGCGTAAGCATATTATTATCATTTCAACAAACAAGGAGGAATCAGAACCAAAAATTAAATCTACAATGTCTGACGTTGCTTTGACTAAACTTTAATACAAGCAGCAGATGTCTTCAAAACATAATCAGTTTTATATTTCACTCTCCGACATTTATTATTATTATTATTATTGATACATCAAAGAGTTACTTACTTAACAATACAAAAATTTAAATATCTAATCTTGACCACAAATTCAGATTATTAAGTTAATGAGTATCAATTCAGTCAAGATTTTGTTGTTCACTTCGACATTTGTTATAGTGAGAGAACTAACCTCCAAACTTTAGAACATGACTAAATTGAAAGGTGGAGTAGAAAACAGAACTTCGGAACAAAAGTTTTGATGCCGAAAGGGAAGAAAACATAATGGCTTCATTAAACTTCTTTTCATTCTTTTGGCTAGAGACATTATTGCAATAGAGGAAAATACTAGTGTTCTGCAATGGTGAAACAAGAAGAATCAAACTTTTTCATCATTTGAGATGGTATATTTATGTCTTACAAACAGCAACTAGTTATAGAATTAAAAGCAAAGGAGACAGTAGAATAATGGGAATAGTATTTTTTTTTTTTTTTGGATACATGAGAAAAATGAAAAAATGAAAAAAGAAAGGTTAAATACCCTTTTTGGTCCCTCTACTATAGGAAAAAGCCCCTTTTTAGTCCCTGTACCGAAAAAATCCCCTTTTTGGTCCTTACTGTTCACAAATCCGGCCCCTTTTTAGTCCTTCCGTTAATTTTTGCTTACGTGTCACGTTAACTTAACTGAAATGGTTGATGTGATATGCCAACGTGTAAAAAATGTTTACGTGGACTTATGACACCCACCACGTCACCCTCCACGTCTTCCGCCCTTTTTTTTTTTTTTCTTTTTTTCCTTTTACCTCCAGCCGAACCCAAGGGCCTGGGTTCGCGAGGAACCCAGCTTGCGGTTTGCGATGAACCCAGATGCCTGGGTTCAGGACGAACCCAGCTCCTGGGTTCGCTTGAAGGTAAAGAAAAGAAACAAGCAACACCATAAATCTATCAGCAAAG